CAATCAGCCATGCTGCGTTCTCAAGGTCGAAAGGCGGCGGCTGACGTTGGTTTTCATTTCAATGGAAAACTTTGCTCCAGGGTTATACCACTGTCTGATAAGCCACTATGACGTGCTCTAGGGCTCTTAGAGGGCGAAAATAACCGGAGGTAACTGCGCATTAAATCAGAAGTGGAGAGTAGGCGGAGCAATCTCCTCCATATCAGAGTTCACAAAAAAGGCCAAATCATTTTGCTAGCATTCAAGAAACTGCACTTAGTGGTACCGACGCCGCATATTTTCGTACGTTTCTCTGGGAAGCATTGTTACTAGCACACTGAAATTCCTTGCACTTTTCCTTCATTGATTCTTGTAAAAAATAAACGGTTGAAAGAAATGGAAATTTGCTTCGCAGTCTTTTCTTGAAAATCCATTTGCCTGAGTTAGCAAAATCTCGCTCATTTATGCGACTAACTCTTCTCTTTTTAGATTATGCAGAGAGCCCAAAAATAGGCCATTCGAAGTCCAGAAAAGGCAACGAAATAGAGGACTTGCACTTCACGAGATATTGCCCTTCATCAACCCTATCCTTGTTGCAGTCTGCAAACGACCGCTTGAGCGAGCTCGGAGCCTAATTTGGGTTGACATTTGCTCCTAGTTCTCGGGATAGATCGGTTAATACCATGCTCATTGGAATGCGTATACTTCCAACGTTGTCAAAAGGGCATGGGTACCGTGAGCCAGGTGGTAGGAGTATTTGACGCATATGCTTAATAATTCATTTAACCTCAGTTCAACCCTTGTGTGAGCTAGTACTGGGGTATGAGATATCCATGGCCGATGACGGAACGGAAGCAAGAAGTGGCCATTTCAGCATTCATAATCTTTAGTTGTAATATTTCTTGCATACTGACCGCTAATCTACTTGTTTTAAACGGATGTTTCTAATAGTCGCTTTAGAAATGCCACTGGAAATGAGAAGCGGCGATCACCGGAACAAGTGTCACCGCAACACAGCCAGTATTTTCTCGTGAACTAATCTCACCGAACTCAGATCACAAACGGCAACCTTACGCTGCATCTAGGATGGTAGAGGGGCGCTCACCGATCGCCTTACGGGGCTCACTCGTACCGCCGTACTTTAGGGTTCTCTCCCGAACCCCGTCGGTAACCGCGCAGCAGCGCGTAATATAGGCAGATAAACATTACCGACGAAGACAAGGGAGACCGAGTGTCTATTTCTGGCTTATTAGTCGTCTTCAGTCGGCCATACCCAATCTCGAGGTGTACAACACCCGGAGCTCGATCCTGCGACCTGTTGGTTAGAAATCCAGTGCTCTACCACGGAGCCACCGGCTTGTTGCCTTGTCGATTACGATAGGTTATACACAATGGCAAACAAGTTTCGTAACACGATCGGTGAACGTCCCTCTACAGCTGTTAATATACCCGATCGGAACCAATATGATAATGAGCCTGTGGCTCAGCGGTTAGGGCGTTGGACTTCTAACTACTGGGTCCCGAGATCGAATCCCAAACCTCGGGATTAGGAATGGCTGGCCGACGACTTCTGATAAGGGAAAAGTGGCCATCCCAATCTCCCTCGTCTTTCTCGATAACACTGCTCTGACTGCATTAAGGGTTAGTATACAACTGGGTACACACACCACTTCCCCTCCCCGGATATATATATTACTGCTATGGGAATTTTTGCGACTCTATTTTAAAACCGTTAAAAAGGCATTACGCCAGTCACTCATGCTGCAGATTCAATAGTTTATTGTGTCGGAGGAGTTAATGTCGCCGACTAATAACGATCGAACTAGCCACCTAAGTTGTTGGTCTCGCTCCCTGTTGACTGCAAGCGTGAAGATGTAATGTTGCATGACAATGACACTCAACACACTGTCCTAATTGCAGGACAGAAATAGGGCCTTCAGTACCGAGGCTGTAGTCCGCGAGACGTTTGTCAAACAACCTAAGATGTCTAGTGATCCGCTGAGTCCCGAATTAACACTCGGGCGCGCCGGCATCCGGGGCTACGTTTTCAACGATTCATTGGCCATGCCAGAGTCCTATTCTTTTAGCTAACACTTCTCAGTTGGGAAGAGATTGGCTCAATCACTGGAAACAGTCCTTATTCTGTCAAGCGAAAGTTCATCTGCTCAACTACTCCCGAGAAGATGGAGTTTTCATGTATAGGCACATCCTCTAGACCAAGCTCCCCCCCCCTGGGAGAACTCTTGGCCCGGAACTCCAAAGCGAACCAGAAATGCTCATTTCCATCTCACAGTCAGGACAGCTCGGCGAACGCCACTCTCGTGTAAATTTCGGCTTTTCTCAAAGAAAACAGTGTGTTTGATCTGTCGGAGTTTTGCAACCGGGCTCGGGGGTCCAATTCTTCAAAGGGGCCTGCGTTGCGCTCGGCATAATCCTCTTTTACGTGCGACTCCAATCACTACGCATTTTCTCTTCCCATCTGCCCCCCTCGAAAATTCTCAAGGTCGAGTCTGCTTAGCCAGTAGAGGAACGTCCTTAATTTCCAGGCCCCAGGAACTCATAACTAGAACGGAGCCTTAAAATATCAGGATTGCACAAGCGCTCGCTGCTCAAGTATATGTCATACGTCCTAAATAAGTACTTAACTGGAAGCGCACCAACAGTCTTTTGGCTTGAAATGCATCAAATACTTATCGTTAATGGAATGAAGTGAGGTTAGTTGAGATTCTTTTAATGTGCCTGGAGCAACAATAAGGTGCAGATATAAAGCTGTAGGGAACTTTGCGAGCTCAGTTTTTGTGGTGGTGGTGGTGGTGGTGGTGGTGGTGGTGGTGGTGGTGGTGGTGGTGGTGGTGGTGGTGGCGGTGGCGGCGGCGGCGGCGGCGGCGGCGGCGGCGGCGGTAGTAGTGGTGGTGGTAGTGGTGCTGTTGTTGTTGTTGTTTTCGTTGTTGCTGCTACTGCTGCTGCTGCTGCCGGACAGGAAATTTTTCCTTTCATGACATTGTTTCTCGTCAGTTTAAACTGGTGTGCTCCGTCCTGTGGTGCAAAACTCCGCATTAGCCAAACCCCATCAGACAGCGTTTTCGCGTAACGACTTGATGGATGTCTTCCTCCATCCGCCCATCTGCGTACCAGACTGAGGTTTCAGGATTGTGTCGAGGGTCTGAAACGCCTGAACCGTGGCACAGGATCGCCTGTAACACGGAAATAATAGTAGTAGGATTTCCCATGGGTGGGGCCTTTTATGAGAGGAAACGCAGAACGCTTAGATATTTAAAGAGTAAAAAACAAAATAAGTGGGCGCTTTTAAAAAATGCAGCCCTGTGGGGTACGCATGTTGAGCGTTGATGAGTGAATCTTTATTTGATGGCGGTCAACATTATTATGTCCCTGGGGTTAGCAACCTTTTATGAGCAACTGATTTGCGGAGTTGTGTTCACCTAGACATGAAGACACTGCCGTTACGCCGCTATCAGCTGGTTATTTGCCAGATCCAAGAGCCCGCTTATTGCATAGAGAGTCATCAATGGGGGCCACTTAACTATCCGCCATTCGTTAACGCCCCAGTTTGCCTAACGGGAAGCCTCCATCTTTCCGAAATTCTTGTCGCCCTGAATGGCTATATTTGCTACTTTGTCGATCCTCCGACTAACTGCTCACTTGAAAACCACCTTGTAATGCCCTTCGGAGTTTCCGACCACCATCCTACATGTATATATATATATATATATTGAAAGAAAACAGCTCTTTGGGAAATATTAAACAAGTTTTATTGTAAATTTTCGAACTTGGTTCCCCAAGTTCGAAAATTTACAATAAAACTTGTTTAATATTTCCCAAAGAGCTGTTTTCTTTCAAATTATGATTCTTGGGATGCCTGTTTTCCAATATATATATATATATAACGGGCCCGTGGCTCAATGGTAGAGCGTCAAACCCCATGACCAAAGACCCCAGGTTCGAATCTCAAGTGATCCACACTTGGGGTTGGGTATGACTGGCTGATGACGTCTAATAAGCCAGAAATGGCCATTCCCGTCTCCCTTGTCTTTGTCGGTATCATCTCATCTATGTCTACTACTAGTCGCTGTGCGACTGCCTGCGAGGGTTCTAGTATGAGCCCCAAGGCACAACGGAACGAGCATGTTCCGTAACCTGATCGGCGAGCGCCCACTGTCACAATATATATATATATATGTTGGTGGAGGTACCGTCAAAGGCAAGGGAGACCGGAATGGTCATTTCTGGCTTGCTAGCCGTCATCAGCCGGACATACCCAATCCCAAGCATGGCTCACTTGAGATTCGAACCGGGGATCTTTGGCCATGGAGTTTGACACTCTATCATTGAGCCACGGGTCCGTTGCCCCATCGGTTGTGAATATCACTTACGACAGATGGAAGCCCGCCGATCAGATTACAGAACGTGCTCGTTCTGTCGTGCCTTACGGCTCAAACTAGAACCCTCGCAGGCAGTCGCACAGCGGGTAGTATTAGATGGTAGAGTGTGAAACTCCATGACCAAAGATCCCGAGTTCGAATCTTAAGTGGTCCACACTTGGGACTGGGTATGACTGACTGATGACGGCCGACAAGCCAGAAATGGTCATTCCAGTCTCCCTTGCCTTTGTCGATACCATCTGATTTACATCTACTACTAGTCGTTGTGTGACTGCCTGCGTGGGTTCTAGTATGAGACCCAAGGCACAGCGGAACGAGCATGTTCCGTAACCTGATCGGTGAGCGCCCAGCTGCCGTGGTATATATATATCAGCATGAGTGAATATTCGAGGTCCTGATAAGTTATCCCGTTCACCATTCCCATCGTCAGGCATGCCTATAACACGAGACAGGCGGCGAGACAGAACAACTCCGGGCCAGAAGGAACAGACAGCCCACCACTCTGATGATAGAACCGAGGAAGTTTCCGAAACGTCAGCATCAGTACAGTGTGGTCCTTTTTTCTTCTTCGTCTTCTTTTGGAAATGATGAATGGGATATATATATACACATATCACTATGATCACTCTGTCAAATGTCACGAGAACTCCTACACAAGAGACTATATTTTGTGGAAGCTTCTCAAATTTCGATCTCAAAAATAAACTTGGCTAGCATCGCTTTAAAAAGAGAAACTGACGTCATTATCTTGTCTGCTTTAACAACTCGGTGCATGTTTCCTTTTCATTTACCGTCTTTTCGACAATGTAGTTTCTCCGCACTGCAAAATAAGGGAATGAGGCAATTTTTCAAAAAATGGTCGATGCTTGTACAAGACGTTTTTGCCATTGAAGGGCATCATGGGGATGCCATTGACTGGTCTCCACGCTGAACATTGTAACCGTGTTGGTCGGGTTTTATTCGGTAGGCTAGGGGTCAACTTCAGCTGAACATCGTCCACCCAGGCTGTTTGTGGTGCCGTAAAGATTCCTTCGCGTGTGGAGGGCTGAGACAGTGTTGACCATTTTAAGGAGCTCACACGCCCTGAAGTCATTGCTTATTAACCACAACGGCCTCTTGGCACTGTGCTTCGGCAATTTGGCTTGGCCTCATGGGGTGTCCAGGGTGTGGCAGTCTTTCTGGTAAAAGACAATCCTTTCAACCAATCAAACATAACCTTGACTTTGGCCATGCCTGGCGTCAAGTTCTGCTCTGTAATTGCGAAACCTTGCTGTGTCCAGTAACATGGTGACGGCCTCCGCTCGCAAGGGGAGAGGGGTTGGCCAAAATATATCCTCCACTCTAGCATGCTTGTACAGGCAGTTCATTGTGGTATTTTGTATGATCGACTCTCTCATAAAAGTCGTAGAGGGGATACTTGATTTGATCAGTCACTGTATCCTAGTTTGCGGCCTGCCATCTGTTTTAGACTCGGCGTGAAATTTTATCACCACACCCCTCTGAAAGCAGCCCACAGACCACACTGTATCCAATAAACGTGGCATTCTCAAACACCACGCCAATGTTATTGTCACATCTAGTTCATATCACTAACGAGAATGGTACCAGTGGGGCCGACCTCCACTAATGTCATCCCATATTAACGAGTGAATTAAAGTGTGAGTTTCCTACTTAATCCTGAATTATTTAAGTCCTGAACCTACTCTGTATGATTATATGTCACTATTGCAAGATTTTGTGCCATATCGGGGGAAATAAATCTCCATTATGCTGTCGTTTTCTTTTTCTGTGGCTTCATGGCGTACGCTGTCATTGAGCAAGTAAGCAAGTTGAACATTCCTTCAAATGTGTCGTCGTGGAAAATTAAAATGATAGACATACTGTCGAAAGTATCATTACCGATACAAGCGAAGATGCGAGGTCGATAACTAACTGCAAACTTATCAACACACCCCTCTGAAAGCAACCCTCAGACCACACTGTATCCAATAAACGTGGCATTCCCAAACACCACTCCAATGTTATTGTTACATCTAGTTCATACCACTAATGAAGGCGAAATTTCGAGTTCCAGGTGTATGCATAAGTGAAGAAGAAGAAGAAGAAGAGTCGAGCACCGGAACACTTCGCTTATTATCCTGAGCTTTCAGACTCGTACAGGAGTCCATCGTCAGAGGTAATGACAGAAACAAGACAAGCGGCAGTTATAAGGCACGTAGGCCCAATCATCGACCGAGGTCGCACGACTGGAGGTGACTACGCAGGGCTTTGTAAGCCGGCGCCAGGTCGATAAATCTTATCACCACAACCCCTCTGAAAGCAGCCCTCAGACCACACTATATCCAATAAGCGTGGCATTCCCAAACACAACTCTGATGTTATTGTTACATCTAGTTCACATCACTAACGAGAACGATACCAGTGGAGCCGACCTACACTAATGTCATCCCATATTAACGAGTGAATTTAAGTGTGCGTTTCCTACGTAATCTTGAATTATTTAAGAGCTGCACCTAGCTGACTAGATTTTGTGCCATATCGAGGGAAATAAGTCTCTATTATTGCTGTCGTTTTCCTTTTCTGTGGCTTCGTGACGTACGCTGCCATTGAGCAGGTAAGCAAGTCGAACATTCTTTCAAATTTGTCCTTCTCAGGGTAGTTGGCCAAACGTGGTCTGGACCATTGTCGTCAAGGCAAATTAAAATGACAGACTTACTGTCGAAAGTATCGTTTCCGAGGTCGATAACCAACTGCAAACGTCCACTCAGCGAAAGGGAGCAGCAACCATTCAAAGATGGATTTCAGGGGATTGTATTCCAGTCCTGCCATATTGTGTATGGAGAGTGTGTGGAGGATTGATTTTGCACGAGCGTTTCCCACCATACTCCAAATCATGCAAAAATAACATGCACTGTTATCTCCCAACTAGGACGTAATAACTAAGATTTCCGAGTGTTCGTGCAGCCAGTGGCCGACCCGTCTTCACAATGTCCAGACTAATTTAAGTTTTTCCCGACCCGACAAATGGCAGATGAAATCGGCAGTTCTTGAGTCAGTGAGCGACCCCGTTTAAGGATGCACGCATTACCGTCCTCTCGGAGAGGGCCCGATCGCATGGAATAACCAAAATTCTGAAATGCGACATAATCTCATGACGTGCCAGACAAGTTAGCATGTTGACTTTTAAATGTACTTCTTTTCGACCGTCTACAAGGACTGCGCTTTAGCAAAAAATGACTACTTAGGTAGCATGCAATTTTTTATACTTATTTCCCTGCCCTTGTAAATTTAAACATATTCTATAGGAGACATGTACAAAAGGTATTCTTTCATGTGCTTCAATGATAGAAAATCACTTTTTCTTCGAATCTTATATTCACAGAAGAAGTGTAGGTTTTAAAAGGTTTTTTTCAGTTCCCGAATAAGGTTGCGTCCGATGCGTTGTTGCATTCACGTTTAGGGTTTTCAGTCTACAAGCTGCATACTTTTGGTGTAAGGAAAATCATATAGCTATATATGGCATGTAGGACTCCTAAAATGTTATAATGGATGTAGACTATATTGTGCGCTTCTTGAGGAAAATTACTAAACGGATATATTCGATGCTATTTGGATGGACATTCTGCAGTCTTAAGAAATCATATTAGCATAAACCTT